GCTGTGGCTCAAGTGGTAGAGCACTAGCCTTGAACTGAAGAGCTGAGGGACAGTGCCCAGGCCCAGAGTTCAGGCCCCACGACTGGACCCAAAAAAAAAAAAAAAACTACAACAAAACAAAAGGTAACTGAAAAATAAACCATAAGCCTAAAACAGTTCACTTGGGTTTTTTTTACCCCCATAAGTGATTTCTCACCTTCTGCTGAGATTTAACATATTTTACCTTTCACTACTTGTCATTTACACAAGTTAAACTTGATGTCTTCACTGATTTTTTCCCCCTTTATTTCTTCCTAGGTGGACTCCCATTATTGTCCCAGTTGCTTAGAGAATATGCCATCAGCTGAAGCTAAATTAAAGAAAAATAGGTAAGAACAGGATCAATTTTACTGTTTTCCTTCCTTACTGTTTTTGGTGGTGGTGGTGGTAGGGCTTGAACTCTGGGCCTGGGTGCTGTCCCTCAGTTCTTCAGCTCAAGGCTAGCACTGTACCACTTGAGCCACAGTGACACTTCCAGTTTTCTGGTGGTTTATTGGACTTAAAAGTGTTACAGAGTTTCCTGCCCGATCCTCAGCTCTCAGCCTCCTGAGTCGCTAGGACTATAGGCGTGAGCTACCACTGATGCCCTGCTCTTGTCTGTTTTTTAATAGCTGTTAATAAGACACATGGAGTTGACTCTTTAAAAAAAAATAAACCAACAACACCTCTTTTCATTTTTTAGCATCATCAGTGCCAACGTACCTTTGAATTGTTAAAATAAATTTTCTGTATTAACCAGTATTGGTTAATAAGTTCATAACTGGTTTACAAGTAAGACTTGTGAAGATCATGCAGAGTTCCCATTTATCCCACACTCTCCCTATTTGTTAAGAATCTACATTGTATTAGTTGTGTCTCCCTAGGCTCTCTTGGCTGCAACAGCTTCTTAGACTTTCTTTGATTTTGATGTCTTTGATGGTTTTCAGGTGTACTGGTATTTTATAGAATATCCCTCAATAAGTGTTTGCATGGTGTTTTTCTCATCAGACCAGAGAGTTTGGGAAAGAGGGCCATAGAGATAAAGTGCCATCTCCTTTGTTTTCTGTGGTTTATATTCTGTCTCCCTCTTTTCCTGGTTTTATGAGACAGGGTTTGGCTGGCCTGAATCCTCAGATCTTCCTATCTGAACATCCTGTATGCTGGCATTACAGACCAGGGCCACCATGCATAGCTTTTCACCTCCTTTTCTGAGCCATAGTCTTGAAAAGAAAAATCACCGTCAAAGTCCATACTTAGAGAGGGAGTTAGACTCTCCTCTCCTTGAAGGCTTTCTGCATAAATTATTTAGGTTGATTTTTTCATGGAAGATCTAATTATTTTTTTAATTACTTATAAGACTGGACTAGTGCTGGGAAGGTGGCTTAGTGGTAGAGTGCTTGCCTTGCATGCATGAGGCCCTGGGTTCGATTCCTCAGCACCACATAGCAGAAAAAAGCCAGAAGTGGCACTGTGGCTCAAGTGGTAGAGCAATAGCCTTGAGCTGAAGAGCTGAGGGACAGCACCCAGGCCCAGAATTCAGGCCCCACAACCCACCAAAAAAAAAAAAAAGACTATGGACTCATGAACATATGTATATATGGGGGAATTGGGATTGTTTCTGTTAAGTGTTTTTGTTTTGAAACAGGGTCTTGCTATATGGCCCAGGTTGGTCCTGAACTCAGAATCAACCTGACTCAGCCTCCCAAGTTCAATACATTTACTTTGTTATTATTTAATACCACCTTATTTATATACTTATTTTTGCTCGTAGGATTCCAGATTTGGACATTGGGAGCCCTTTCAGTTTATTCCTGAAGCCCTTAAATATACCTCTAATATTGTGGGTCAGAAGGTGGTGGTATTCTCGTTAATTTGAGCACTTGATTATTCCAGTACTGTAAGATACTCCAGACTTGGTTAGTACATTTTTCTGACTCAGTCTTAGAAGTAGCTATTTTTCAAAGAAGCCATGATTCCATTTGCTGGAGAATGGTATTACAAGCCAAGATCTGGCTTCAAGATGGGCTCATTGCTACTAGATGTCATTTGCATTTTAGCTTGGTGTGAAAGTCATTTTTGCTTCCAGTCACACCCCAACATCTTCATGGATGTACCACTATTATTTGTTTTTCCTACCCCAAATAAAGCTTCTGATAACCATATACTGTTTTGTATGTTTTCTACACATTAATTTTATCATTTAATCCTCAGAGTTATCTCCCTGGGGTGGTTACTATTACTACCTCCATTTGAGGATAATATCCAGATGACAAACAAAAAACACCCAGATGGGAAATATTGTAAGTCTGAGGTAAAGGCTTGAACATCTGAGATGGTGGGAGAATTAAAAGCACCAGGACACAGAGTGCCTAAGAGGGAAGTGTTAGCTGAAGGATAGGAAGAGTAGCATCTGAGCAGAAAACAAAAACCCTGAAAGTATACCACTTCTAAACCACTTCATTTTGACAACATTTTGGTATCTATTTCAACTCTGAGACAGCAATTAAAGTAACTGTTACACAAATCCAGTTTCATAGTTTCTTACATTCCTAACTCCATCTCTCATTTTATCATCGGTCAGTTCTCTCCAAAGGCATCAGATATGATATCTTTTTCTTAGAAATCTTTGCTCTACATATTAGGATTCTAAAGTTTACTAGTAAACTTCACTTGTTAAAAGAGTGACCCTCTATGAAATTGGGTTCCAATTCTTCTTGAGCTTTGGTAGCAATTGCTTTTTTTTTAAGATAAACAAAAATATTTTTGAAATGTTCAAATTGTTGAGTCCCCAAGAACATTTTGCAAGTCACCCTTATCTATTGAATTTCTAACTTGTAGAACAATGGCTTGTCACATGTGAGGTGCTTAGTAAGTATTCGTTGAACAAGTTCTGTGTCTGTCATGTCACAGGTGCGCCAACTGCTTTGACTGTCCTGGCTGCACGCATACTCTCTCTACCCGTGCAACGAGCATCTCCACACCGCTTCCAGATGACCCAGCTAAAACCACCATGAAGAAAGCTTATTACCTTGCCTGTGGGTTTTGTCGCTGGACATCTAGAGATGTGGGCGTGGCAGACAAATCTGCAGGTGAGTGAGGTGGAGTTGGACATGTGTTGTAATCCGTGCTGTAACTGTCCCTAGACTGTTGTTTCTGTAACCAGTTACAGTGGGACAGAAATTCAAAATGCGTTGTTACTATTAACACTCCTGATACTTTGCTAAAATTGAAACTGCTAATACTCTTCATAAAAACTTGTCATTATTGATGTTGGAAAATGGACAAAATTAGGAGATAAAAATGACAAATTAAGGAAAAGGTTGGATCATGTATAACAGACTAAAGATGAATAGGCAAAAGTGAGGGTCAGGCTCCAGTTGCTCACACCTATGATCCTGGTTACTCAGGAGACTAAGATCTGAAGATCGCAGTTCAAAGCTCCTGGGCTGAAAAGTCCGTGAGACTCTTATCTCCGGTTAACCACCAGAAAACTGGAAGTGGCACTGTGGCTTAAGTGGTAGAGTGCTTGCCTTCAGCTGAAGAACTCAGGGACAACGTACAGGCCCAGAGTTCAAGCCCCAAGACTGACAAAACAAAAAAAACAACTGAGGAACATTTATAAATCAATATGGAAAAGAATCAGAAGGAAAATTACAAAGGGTATGAGCAGCAGTTCTCATAACTAGAAATAAAAATGTTCTGTAAATATGCTGAATTATGTTCAACTTTGATCTGTTGGGAAACTATGGTTATATTGCATGCTAGCTAAAATTCAGATCATAGCTTTCTTTATACATTATCATTTTGAGGACCTCTAAGTGTTTTCATCTTTTGCCTAGCAATTCCATGTTTAATTACCTATTCCTGAGAATTAACATGTGATGTGATGTGATGTGTGTGTGTAATATATAAAAATACATTCATCATTTTTAATCATTGATTTTGCTGTTTCCTTTTAGTTTGGAGTACTTGGCCTCTTGATTAATTTTTTTGGCTTTATACATTTAGTTGTATTTCTTTTGAAAACAGAGTTTGCCAGTTTTTGGGGGCTCATGTCTGTAACCCTAGCTACTCAGAGGCAGAAAGTCCATGAAACTCTTCTCTCCAATTAACCACCAAAAAGCCAAACTGGAGCTGTGCCTCAACTAGTAGAACACCAACCTTGAGTGAAAAAGCTAAGGACAGTGCCCAGGACCTGAATACAAGCCAAAGTATTGGCACACACACAAAAATAACAAGAAAGGGAGGGAGGAAGGGAATCAGCTTAAAAAAAAAAAAGTTTGTTGATGGATTTTTTTTTTCCTTCTTGTGAAGTATAGCAAATCAAATTCAGGACCTCATTCATACTAGATATTAGGCAAGTATTCTACCACTGAGCTATAGCCCTAATCCTTTTGTTTTTTCCTTTTGTATGCCAGTCTTGGGGCTTAAACTGCGTGCCTGAGCATTGTCCCCAAATTTTGATGCTCATGGCTAGCACTTTACCATGTAAGCCACTGCTCTACTTTACCATTTAAGCCACTGCTCTACTTCTAGCTTTTTTGGTAGTTAATTGGAAATAAGAGTCTCACATACTTTTCTGCTTGGTCTGGCTTCAGAACCTTGATCCTCAGATCTCAGCCTCCTAAGTAGCTAGGATTACAGGCAAGAGCCACTGGTGCCCAGAGCCTTTATGATTTTTATTAGAATAATGATTCCATGTTTTTAGAGTACCAACAAATGTGTGTGAATGTGTTAACTTGAATATAGCAGATAAGTTGTTATGATTTGCCAGGAATTTAAGTTTAATGTTAAGAACAACCTCAGGGGTGTATAGTATATACCATGAGTTAAGGCAGTGTTTTTCTATATTTATACTTTGTTTCGTTTTACCAAGTAAAAGAAGTAAAGCTCAGAATCCAGATAGATGTCATAGTTGGTTACTCTATAACTGAATATTTTATATCTTTTGGATTATGAATCATGAAGACTAAAAATTTGTACTTCTGAATTTTAAAACTTACTGTGGCTTCTAAAAACCTGTCTCCCCAAGGGTATCTTCCAACTGATAATTGAATACCAGGAACACAGATAATTTCCATTTCCTCCATGATGTCATTGGTGTATAAGAAGCCCTGAAACCATTTCAGTTAGATCTGTTTCCTTATTTATAAAGCACTTTTCCATAATGTATAGAGAAAACTGTAGTAAGATCATTAGTTTCCCAAATTGCATTTTAGAATAAATTACCAGTTCTAAAGAAACAATTAGGTAAAAGATTCAGACGTTGCCTTAAGGCCATATGGCTTTGTGTAATATAAAATGTATTCATATTAATATAAATGGGCATAAGGATCTATTTAACTATGAATGTAATTATAAAGATGCTAATTCAGCGATATCCTACAAGAAGAAAAATACTATTTTCAACAAGGTGGTCTCATTTTGGGGCCTAATATGTCTCCAGTGGTAGAGCATCTACCTAGGAAGGGAGAGGGCCTAACTAAATTCAAACCCCAGTTTTTCTCTGCTCAGAAGGCAAAGATCCAGAGAGGATCATTGTTTGTTTTGCCAGTCCTGTGGCTCAAACTCAGGGCCTGGGCACTCTCCCTGAGTTTCTTTTGCTCAAGGCTAACTAACACTCTACATATCAAGTACCTGACACAAGGCTGTCCATATGCTGTTGGTGGTGGTAGTAGTGGGTAGGAGTCATGGTGATTATTATTATTATCAAATTTATTTAAAGAAAAAAGTTGTTTTAAGCATGGGGGTTACTAGAAAATTTTTAGAATTATTTTAGAAATTCTGTTACTTTTGTTTTAAAGTTATATTCCATGGCCTTCAGACAACTTTTATGAAAAAAGATGATAATATTTTTGTTTAATGTTTCTTTATTTTCTAGCTAGTGGAGGTTGGCAGGAGCCAGAAAATCCTCACACACAACGGGTAAGTTAAAGATCATAGGACACAGAGAATTAAATAAACAATAGAATTTATAAGACATCAAATCACAGTATCATTTCTTTTCTATTAAATTAATCAAAAATGTAAGTGTAAGGCTACACCTGATAATGCATACTGTAATCCCAGCTACTCAGGAAGCTGAGATTAGGGGGATCTGTTTTGAGGCCAGCCTAAGGGGAAATAAGTTAGCAAGACCTTGTCTTAGCAGGCATGCCAGGTGGTCCCAGCTCCTTGGGAACATAGCTAAGAGAACTTTAGTCAGAGCCTGGCCAAGCAAAACAGCAGGAGAACCTGCCTGAAAAAAATCACTAAAACATAAACAGGGCTAGGGGTAAGGCTCAAATGGTACACTGTCTGTCTGGCAGGTATAAGGCCGTGAATTCAAATCTTAGAGCCACTTCCCCCACAAAATGTACACATAGTTTCTTTATTGGTGTTATTATTTGTTTGTTATTTTTATTTATTTTTAAGTAGTTGTATATAGGTAGAGATTTTAATTCCTCTTCATGGGTGTCACCTCTTCCATCATTCTCCTCCTATTTTTCCCCCTCCCAATCATACCTTCAAGTTATATAGTTCATCTTAACATCATTTATATTGAGGGGCTGGGAAGGTGGCTCAGTGGTAGAACGCATGCCTTGCATGCATGAGGGCCTGGGTTCGATTCCTCACTACCACGTAAGCAGAAAAAGCCGGAGGTGGCGCTGTGGCTTAAGTGGTAGAGTGCTAGCCTTGAGCTGAAGAGCTGAGGGACAGCGCCCAGGCCCAGAGTTCAGGCCCCCACGACCGGACCCAAAAAAAAAAAAAACAACAAAAAATTTATATTGAATATGACTGTATTTGAATTATACCAGAAAATGAAGAAAATTTTTGTTTTTTTCTCTATATGCACACTATTTGTTCTCAAGTACTCCTGGAAACATTGACATGTAGACATTTCTTCCCCAGTAGTGGCTGCTTATAGGATGATGACTGGAGTGTCCATTGTGCTCATGATAAGTTGTTTTCTACAGTATGTGTTATAGCTGAGTTTTTGTGGTTTTTTTACCCCTTAAACTTGAATAATAAGACAAAGTAATGGACTGCTACGGAAATGAAATTAAATGGTGATTTAGCATTACTCATCTATGACATCAGCAAAAATTCGAAGTACTAAATATTTATGAGGTAAGATAGTGGAGGAAATGAATTTTCTCAAATGTCCATTCTTACATTGAATGGTACAGCTTTATCTGTGTTTTGGTTTTTGTTGTTGTTTTGAACAGTACTAGAGGTTGAATCCAGGACCTTTGTGCTTGCTGCGTAAGCCTTGTAACACTTGAGCTATGTCCCTGAGCCTTTTGAGTCTTTTTTTTTTTTTTTTGTCGGGCATGGGGCCTGAACTCTTGAACCCAGGACCTTTGTATATGCTACATAAGTCTTCTAACACTTGAGCTATGTCCCCAATCCTTTTGAGTTTTTTTTTTTTTTTTGCCAGTCATAGAACCTGAATTCTGAGCCTGGGTGCTGTCCCTCAGCTCTTCAGCTCAAGATTAGCGCTCTACCACTTGACCCACAAAACCACTTACAGCTTTTTCTGCTTATGTGGTGATGAGGAATTGAACATAGGGCCTTTTGCGTGCAAGGCAAGCACTCTCACCACTGAGCCACATTCCCAGCCCCTTTTGAGTCTTTTTAATTTGTTTTTGAGATACGGTTAAATCTCTGCCTTCATCTGTGCTAGCCTAGCAGGCTTGTACCACCATACCCAGCTCTTTTGTTTGTTTGTTCATTGTTTTTGTGTCTGGTATTGAGGGTTGAACACAGGGCCTTGTACATATGAGGCAAGTGGTATATTGGAGTTTGAACTCAAGGACCCATACTTGCTAGGAAAGTGTTCTAGCATTTGAGTCATACCCTCAACCTTGGTACAGACTTTTTAAGCTCTTGACTATATTTGCTGCTTTGATTTTTCACTTATAGAAACTCCTACATGTATGCACAAATGATGAGGGTGGAGAACGCACCTATGTGCGTTTATGCTAAATAAAATATAGAGCATAGAGCTTAAGTCTGCTAGAAGAAGAAAAAATCCTGAGATAAAATAAAAACTGATTAAATAATATGAAAGGGATATGAATCGTGCCATGTGAACATTGGGGAATTTCAACTAGATAGGACCACATGTAAGGATTATACTGAGATCTGAGGATGAAAGGAGAAATGATTCAAGACGGGGACTGTATATGCAAAGAGCAATAAATGGAGGAAGCAGAGCATGTAGTAGTAAGGGAGGGAGGGAGATTATAGTGGGATGTGGTAGTAGCCAAATGGAGAAAAAAATTGAGGGAGGATATGACCATGCAGACTATGTAGACTGAAAAATATGAGAAGCCTTTAAATTAAGCAGATAGATGGATGATAGTATCAGTTCAGTTTTCCTAAAATCAATGGCTGCTAAACTGAGAGTGCAAGGGTGACACTAGGGCAGGGTGCCAGGGACTCACACCTATAATCCTACCGACTCGGGAAGCCTGAGGTCTGGAGGATCATGGTTCAAAGCCAGCCCAGGCAGAAATACCTGCAATAATTTATCTCCAAAAGAAGCAGCAAAAGCAAAACTGGAGTTGTAGCTTAGATAGTAGAGTGCAGGCCATGAACAAGAGAGCCAAGCAAGCGAGTAGAAGACCCTGAGTTCTGGCCTTAAAATCAACAGTAACAACAACAACAAAAACACAATTTAGAAGACCATATAAGTCCTACTGTAAGATAGGACTAAATTCTTTATTTGACTTCCGTTGAATCAATAAAGGACAGCCTTTAAAAACAAACAGGTAGGAAGTGGCTCAAGAGGTAGAGCGCTGAGGGACAGCGCCCAGGACCAGAGTTCAAGCCCCACGACCGACAAAAAAATAAATAAATCAAAACAAACAGGTAGAGCCAGGTAAAATAGATCAGACCTATAGTCTTGGCTACTCAGGAAACCTAGGTCTGAGGGTTTGAAGCCAGCCTGGGCAGAAGAGTCTGACAGACTCTTAGCTCCTTTCTCCAGTTTAAAAAAAAAAAAAGATGGAACTGGAACTGTGGGCAAGTGATAGAGCTCTCGTCTTGAGCAAAAGAGCTCAGGGACAGCACCTAGGCCCTGATGAGTTCAAGCCCCAATACTGGCACCAAAAAACAACAGGTAAATCTGTTTGTACTGGATGGACGATGATGTATTATGATTTTGTATTTGTGCAAAGTCTATACAGTTAAGAGGCTGAGTAAGAACAACACCACGCACATGGTATTCAGGTAAGGGGGTAGGTTTATTCATCATTCTGGCTGGCACCAGGCCATGTTGGCACTCCAAGCAGCTGGGAAAAAGGGCGTCTGGCCCTGGGCTAGGCCTTATCTAGGGTAGGGGCAGGGAAAGGTGTGGCCGCATCGAATCCAGATGTGAACTCAGTGGATGCAGATGTGACCTCTTCTAGGTGTGCCAGTTGCTTAGGTCAGGTACTGAGCAGAGACTTGTCTGCGAGGAGGGCAGAGTCTGCTTGCCATCCAGGAGTGGACCTTACAGTTAACTAGTGGTGACTAGTTCCTCACACCTCTATCTTGTCTCCTCAGGAGGCTGATACCTGGAGCATTGAGATTTGATGCTGGCTTAGGCCAAATAGTCTGTTGAGCCTTTGTTTTTAATTAACCATCAGAAAGACAGGCTGACGGTGTAGCTCACATAGTAGAGTGCCAGCTGTTAAACAAGCTAAATGAGTACAACACCCTGAGGTCAAGACCCAGTACTAGCATTAAAGCGATTTATAATTTTTGTTCCCTTCACATGAAAAAGAGAACTATTTATTTTATGTGTATCAAGTTGTGTGTCTACACAGGAGTATGCAAAATATATTTATAAGAATATAAGAAAGACATCTAACTTTGTAATAGTGGATACCTCTGAGGTCAAGCACAAACAATAAAGGAAAAGTTTTGTTTTTCTTCATATATCATTGGGATTTTATAACTAACATGACTTTTATGATTGAAAAAGTGCCGCAGAATGGGGAGAAATATACAATGTCATAGTTGTAACACCTGTAGTCCTGTGGCATTGCAGACAAAACTAGGAGCAGTTCCAAAGAGAAACAATGAAGTAAAACCATGTAATTTCAGTTTTTTCATTGCCCCTTTCTGAACTTAATGGTTTCCTTTTAATTCTGAAAACAGACCATGTAATGAAGAGAACTTCCCTTTAAAGAAAAAAGGGAAACTTGCTCACTTTAACACTTGCTTTGTTTCTAGTCAATGTGATTGATTAATTTTATATATTCTCTGTTAGCTTTTTCATGAAACAAATACTGAGTCTTTGGTTTCTTGCAGATGAACAAGTTAATTGAGTATTACCAGCAACTTGCCCAGAAAGAAAAGGTTGAACGAGATCGGAAGAAACTGGCACGACGTAGAAACTACATGCCTCTGGCTTTTTCGGTGAGGATTTGATACAAAAAGGAATTTGTGAACCCTTTGGGGCTTAAGAACAGTGACTATTTCAGAAAGTAGCCATTTTCCCAGATTCTTGACTTGTGGGTAACAGAGCAAGGAAATCTGCACATTATTATTTTTTATTATTATTGCTATTCCTCACAAATTTAATTTTATCTGCACTGCAGACACCTGTTTACAGGTTTTGCATGTTACAGAAAGTCTAAAAAGAAGAAGAAAATAAGTAGTGGTAGATATTACTCATATTGCCAATATAGTCTACCATTCGCAACCTAGTAGCAGAGGTTTCCCAACTGTAGTCATCTTTTCTTTTTCTTTTTTTTTTTTTTGACACCTTTCCATAGCTCCTCAGGATGAGAACTCTGACCTTTAACACAGTGCATTTGTGTGGTTAAATAGGTGGTGACACATGCAAGTAGAATTATTTTTGCCAGTCCTGGAGCTAGAACTGTCCCTTAACTTCTTTAGCACTCTACCACTTGAGCCACAGCACCACTTCCAGCTTTTCTCAGTACTTTATTGGACATAAGAGTCTGACAGATTTTTCTTGCCCAGGCTGGCTTCAAACCTCAGTCCTCAGATCTCAGCCTCCTGAGTAGTTAGGATTACAGGTATGAGCCATCAGTGCTTGGCTTCAAGTAGAATTTTTGATGAGAATTATCTGTGGGTGTTGTTCTCTACGAGTTTATATACATTAGGCAGAAGCAAAAGATTAGGACTATGAGTTTTTGTTATTGTCCCCAAGTTCTGTTTGCCCTCATAGAAATTTTCTTTGTGCTTGTTTGTGCCCCAAGAGGATGACATTTAACAAATAAATTTATTCAGTGACAATGACATATTGAGCACTGGGCTAAATATTTTATAATATTACAAAATGATATTATATATTATAATTTCAATATTAAAGAATTATTTAATCCTAACAACCAGCCTGTGGGGACAGATACCGAATTCTTTCCCATGTCTGGAAAGACTGAATAACTTCTCATTTTGCATCTATATGAGAATGAGTTAAGCCATAGAAACTCTAAGCCTTAGTAAGATCCATATAAGAATATCTAGATTTGAATTTAATAAACTATTAACACTTACAAAGCAACTACATTCACCAGCGAAATAAGTTTTCCTAAACAGCCCACTGGTATAATAAGCATATGCTATACTGTATGATAGTTCTAGAAGAGGAATGTGAACTAAATGCTTTATCCTGCCAACTTTCCCATATACCTGCCTGCTGTATGAGTTTGCTTCTATCTTATGCTGCATTTTTTTGTCTCTGTTGCAACCTGCTGCTATTTTGGGGCTCTACAGCAACATACTATTCATGTAGTGGTAAGTTATTTTTTTATGATTTTTGCTGACCCTGAAGAAGTTAGCAGATGGTCATTGGTGTTCCAGAAGGACAGTCGCAGTGTATCTCAGACCCTCCACACAGTTCCTGCCTAGACTAAAGCTTGGATGGCTTTAGGGTAGTAGGAAAAGCTCACACTTGGATCACTTTCACTGTATTATATAGTTTCAGTCTCCATGTTGTTTTATTTTAGGACAGAATAATGATGTAAGAATACAAGTAAAAAGTAGCCTCAAATAGCTTTTTGGTTTGGGAGATGTTTTGTTCTTGCTTTGGTTCTGTTTTTGTTTGTTTTGCTTATTTCCCTAAGCTTCTCCTGCTATCCCACCCCAAGTTGTTTCTTTCAATAAATAGAAAGTATAAAATGGACTTTGTAATAAAAATTTCTGAACTTTTTTTTAGGACAAATATGGTCTTGGAACCAGGCTTCAACGGCCACGAGCGGGTGCATCCATTAGTACCCTTGCTGGACTTTCGTAAGTTTTGACATTAAATGACTTTGAGAGAAGCAGGTATCAAAACAAATGTTTAACAAAAGCAATTATTTTTTAAAGAGAAAGAATGGTTGTTGATAGGGAAAAAGTTCTTAGACAAGACCTAAACTGAATGAGTATTCTACAGTGGTAGAATTAATTCAGTGATTCATAAACTTGAGGTTAATCAGAATGGCCTTTGGGAAGTTACTGATTTTGTTTTTTTTTTTAAATCTTTTTAGCCTTAAAGAAGGTGAGGATCAGAAAGAGATAAAGATTGAGCCAGCTCAGGCTGTGGATGAAGTGGAACCTCTACCCGAAGACTATTACACAAGACCAGTAAATTTAACAGAGGGTGATTGTCTACGTTCTACTTTCTAGTCTACATCTACTCTATTTTTGTTGCTTACTTGCCTTGTGATTTGAGATTTTTTTTTTTGTGGAATAGTTGCTAGTAGTAAAATGATATGCTGAAAAATGAATGCGATAGAACTTTATACTTTTAAAGAAATATTGATAACGATATATTACTCTATATAATTATTGCCCGCACATAAATGTGATTTTGAAAGTCACCTAAATTTGGTTTTGCCTTTCACACTAGTGACCACCCTTCAGCAGCGCCTCTTACAGCCTGACTTCCAGCCAATCTGTGCTTCACAGCTCTATCCTCGACACAAGCATCTTCTCATCAAACGGTCCCTGCGTTGCCGGGTAAGTATTTTTTTTCTGTAGAGTTGTCATTTGTGTAAGAGAAAAATAAACAGATTAGTTTGTGACCAGTGTAGCAACTTTAGAAAGCACAAGGAGTGTGCCAGATACTCAGGTACTATAAAATATTTTGTCTATATTCAGCCTCAAAACCTGGAGGCATGACTCAAGTAGTGGAGCATTAACAACCCTAGGTTCAAACACCAGTACTGCTGGAAAGAACATCTAAACTCCAGCCTCAGTAGCTCCGTAGATGTAACTACTGTTAACTCTATGCTACAAATGTGGAAAGAAAGGTATCTAAAGGTAAAATGCATAATGCAGAGTCCCAAAAAGAATGGAAGAGTGCCTAGCTTTTAGACCAGTAAGATAGTTTTGTTTTTTTTTTAAGCAAAAAAAAAAAACAAAAACAAAAAAAGCAAAAAACAAAAGTTAGGCACTGGGACTCATAACTGTAATCCTAGCTTCTCAGGAAGCTGAGATCTGAGGATCCTGGTTCAGAGCCAGCACAAGCTAGAAAGTCCGTGAGACTCCAATCTCAAGTATACTACCAAAAAGCCAGAAGTGGGCTGGGAAGGTGGCTCAGTGGTAGAGCGCTCGCCCTGCATGCTTGAGGCCCTGGGTTCGATTCCTCAGCACCACATAAGCAGGAAAAAAAAAAAGCCAGAAGTAGTGCTGTGTCTCAAGTGGTAGAGTGCTAGCCTTGAGCTGAAGAGCTGAGAGACAGCGCCCAGGCCCAGAGTTCAGGCCCCACAACTGGACCAAAAAAAACCCAAAAAGCCAGAAGTAAAGCTGTGGCTCAAGTGGTAGAGCATGAGGAGGAACAATTTAATAGAAAACAAGAAGAAAAATCAGCAAAATTCTGGCTCTAGTAATCTACAGAATGAGCAGCAGAGTATCATCAGTACAGAAATTGTAAAAACAATAATAAGAGAATAGAAAGAAACCTTTTAGATTAGTCTTATCCTACAGAACTACACACGATGTGGATGTGTTTTGTATGTGAACAGTCCAATATAATATCCACTAGTCACATGTGGCTATTGAACACTTAAAATGCATATCATGACTACAATACTAAATCTTTTAACTCGTTTAAATAGTTTCATGTCTCTAGGAGCCAATATTACCAAATAGCACAGCTTTAGGGAAGGAAAACAAGAGGCAAAGGAACATAGGCCAGTTCCAGATGCTTTCTACCATGTAATATCGTGGATTAAAAGTACAATATTTCAGTATTTACATTAAATAGCTTCAAACTAACCCAAGCATGATGGTCATAACTGTAATCTCAGCACCTGGGAAACAGAAGCATGAGGATCTTGAGCTTCAGCTTGGATTACATAACAAGCTCAAGACTATCCTGAGCTCTACAGTGAGACCCTATCTTCAAAAGCTAAGGACTGGACATGTTGTTCAGTTGTACAACACTTGACTCACATGTGTAAAGCCCTTATTTCAATTACCAGTAGTACACAAAAAAAAAAGAGAGAAAATAAAAATAAAAGTTTGGGCTGGGAAGTTGGCTCAGTAGTAGAGTGCTTGCCTTGCATGCATGAGGCCCTGGGTTCCATTCCTCAGTACCACATAAGCAGAAAAAGCCGGAAGTGGTACTGTGGCTCAAGTGGTAGAGCGCTAGCCTTGAGCTGAAGAGCTGAGGGACAGTGTCCAGGCCCAGAATTCAGGCCCGATGACTGACCAAAAAAAAAAAAAAAATTTAAAAATGTTATGCAGAAAAATGTTATACAAATACTAATGTTTTTTTTTAAATAATGATAACTCAGAGGTTCAAAAAGGAAGATATAACACAGTCTAGATTTTCATATACAAAATAACATAGGCTTCAAACATAAAACTTTTGAGAAAATTTTATAAATAGAAAAATAATTCTGGGATATTTTGACATATTGCAATGCCTTTCCTTATTAACCCCAGTCAGGGCTAACCCTACTTATGCTCTGTGCTTCTTTCTTTTCTTAGAAAATGAATAAACCTTTGCTTCCTTCCTTGTAGTTTTTGTTTAGCTAACTATTCCAGGAGGCTGCTGGAGTAGTCAGTTTATTTAATGTTTTCTTATTCATTTTTTTTTGGGGGGGGGGGTGTCTGGTCGTGGGGCCTGAACTCTGGGCCTGGGCGCTGTCCCTCAGCTCTTCAGCTCAAAGCTAGCGCTCTACCACTTGAGCCACAGCGCCACTTCCGGCTTTTTTCTTTTTGCTTGTGTGGTGCTGAGGCCTCAGGCATGCAAGGCACATGCTCTACCACTGAGCCATCTTCCCAGCCCGTATTTAATGTTTTTGCTAAAGTTGTTGCTTAGCAATTTGTCCAATCCTTTCCAGTGTAAATAGCACCAAAAAAAATGAAAAAGAATGTAGTAAATAATTTTCATTATATTTTAAAGCATGGAACTTCGGGCTGGGACTGTGGCTTAGTGGTAGAATGCTTGCCTAGCATGCACAAAGCCCTGGGTTCAATTCCTCAGTACCATATAAACTGAAAAAGCCAGAAGTGGGGCTGTGACTCAGGTGGTAGAGTGTTAGCCTTGAGCAAAAGACTCTTAGGGACAGTTTCCAGGCCCTGAGTTCAAGTCCCAGGACTGGCAAAAACAAACAAGCTAAAGCATGGAACTTGGGATTATACTACGTAGAGTTAAATCCTAGTTTCTAGCTCCATGAATTCCACAGCTTATTTGCCCTTGTGTTGTCCCATTTTCATCATCCAGAAAATGGAAAAATAAATAGCTCCTTCATAAAGTCATTGTGATGTTTAAATCCATATAAGACAGTACTCTATAACATTTTTTAAACACCACAGGGATATACCAGTAATGGAGGGTATGGCTGCATATATCTAGAATTGAATGTCATCTTTTATAAATTTTTGTTACCAGCAATATGTGTTCTATTTCAAAACATGGTCTTCTAGCACACATGCATGCGCACACACACACACTTGTAGTAAATGCCGTATTAAATTTAGTAGCTATATGGGTCAGCAAAGTATGTCTTGTTTTCCTCTGATACATGCTTTTTCTTTTCAGAAATGTGAACATAATTTGAGCAAGCCAGAATTTAATCCAACATCCATCAAATTCAAAATCCAATTGGTTGCTGTGTGAGTACCTTTGTGTTGATATTTGGGCTATTGACTTTATATAACATATATTTACTTCGTCCCAAAAAGGAAAGCAGTACCTATGTCAGAACAATTATACTATTCTGTTGACATTGGGGGCTTTTGAATTTTGTCCCATCCCATGAAGTTTAAAGTAAATCTGTAAATATAGAATCAAGGTATTCAGTCTGCTTCTATAGTTCCTACTACTCAGGAGACTGATGCAGGAGAATCTGGGGCCAGCCTGTTTTACAAAGGTATACCTCATCTCGGAACAAACAAGTAAAGACTTAAGAAATATTTTTTAAATATGTTCACAAAAAAAATTAAAAAAAAATTTCAGCTAAAAAAAAAAATATTTTTAAAAAAATGAGTGTATGTAGGGAAACAACAATACCATGGTCGATGACAGTGGAGTATGTATGTTGGTCTTTAAGTAGAGAATCATTACTTGTTTATTATAATTATTAAGTACCTAAGTTGAGAAAAGCTCTTACTGGTGGCTCATGCTTGTAATTTTAGCTACTCAGAAGGCAAAGACCTGAGGATCACAGTTCAAAGCCAGCCCAGGCAGGAAAGTTTGTGAGACTCCAGTTAACTTTCAAAAAAATCCAGAAATTGGGCTTGGAATGTGCCTTAGTGATAGAGTACTTGCCTAGCATGCATGAAGCCCTGGGTTTTATTCCTCAGTACCACATAAACAGAGAAGGCCAGAAGTGGTGCAAGAACCTTAAGGACAGTGCCCAGGCCCTGAGTTAATGCCCCAGGACTGATTTAAAAAAAAAAAAAAAGCCGGAAGTGGAGCTGGAGCACTACCCTTGAGCACAAAAGCTCAGGGGCAGAGCCCAGGCTCTGAATTCAAGCCCTGAACCAGACACATATCAAAAAATCTTAGTAAATATTAAAGTAGCCAGGCAGTGATAGCTTACACCTGTAATCCTAGCTGTACAGGAGACTGAGATCTAATGATCTCAGTTCAAAGCCAGCCTGGGCAGAAAGCCCAAGAGATTTAACTCTAATTAGCCTGCAAAAAGTGGAAAGTAGACCTCTGTCTCAGTAGTTAAGTGCTACGATGAACTTTGAAAAACCTTAGGGATAATGCCAAAGCTCTGAGTGTAAGCCCTAGTAACAGCACAATAAATTAAGTTATTAACTAACTATAGCAAATTTAAAGCCTATCTCTGAAACAGTGTTCATTTTATTTACCTGTGTTTTGGTAACATCTCATTGAGTGGCATAAAAATTATCAATGTAGTGGCAGCTGACTGGAGGTCTTCAGTAGAAGGGAGTTTCAAGTATAAAAAAAAAATCACATATTGAATAGGAAAAGTATCTCATTAGCATACATTAATTGTACAAAGGTTTTACTGTGACATTTCTACACATGTGTACAATGTATCCCAATCAGCTTCACTCCCAATATCAGTCTCCTTCATCCTAGCCCCTCCCTCTCTTTTTTTAGATTTTTTTTTAATTGGCATACATTAGTTATACAAGGGGGGATTTCAATGTGACATTTTCACACATACACAATGTATACATTGTATTCCAATCAGTGCTCCATCCTCTCTGTGCTTCCAGATACAACTTGAAGAAGTTTCATTGTTCTGTTTTCATAATTGCTGATATATCTATCCTCTTTCACCCTCATTAGTCCAACTTTCTTTTCCCTAGTTCCCACCTTAGTTGATCACATCATTTGGTTATTCTGAAATTGCTACAGAAAACATAGATATGAAGGTGTACTTTTTGTATATTAATTTAGTCTCCTTTGGTTATATGCCCAGTAATGGTATGGGAGGGTCCTAGGGAAGGTCTGCTTTTAGTTTTTTGAGGAATTTCCATAATTGTTCCACCAGTTTACATTCCCACCATTCCATTCTCTTTTTTTTTTTTTTTTTTGTCAGTGGTGGGGCTTGAACTCTGGGCCTTGGCACTGTCCCTCAGCTCTTCAGCTCAAGGCTTGTATTCTCCCACTTGAGCTACAGCACCACTTCCAGTTTTCTGGTGGTTTATTGGAGATAAGAGTCTCACCGTCTTTTCTGCCTGGACTGGCTTTGAACCGCAATCCTCAGTTTACAGCCTCCTGAATAGCTAGGATTACAGGTGTGAGCCACCAGCACTGGGCCTTCCATTCTCTTTTCCTGTATGCTCACCAGCATTTGTTGTTACTTGTTTTCTTGATGGGTTCCATTCTGACTCAGCTGAGATGGAATCTTGGTTTTGACTTGCATTTCTCTTATGAATAAAGATGTTAAAACAAGCCAGGTACTGGTGGCTCACACCTGTAATCTTAGCTACTCAGAAGCCTGAGATCTGAGGATCATGATTCAAAGCCAGCCTGGGTAGGAAAGTCTGTGAGACTTACTTCCAATAAACCACCAGAAAACCAGAAGTGGCACTGTGGCTCAAGTGGTAGAGTGCTCACCTTGAGCTGAAGAGCTCAGGGGCAGCTCCCAGGTGCAGAGTTCAAAGCCCATGACCAACAACAACAAAAAAAGATGTTGAACATTTCTTTGTGTATCTAACCATTTGTATTTTTTCTTCTGAGGACTGTCCAGTTCACTGGCCCATTTATTAATTGTGTTATTCTGCTTCCTAGATTTTTGAGCTTTTCATATTTTCTTGATATTCTTTATTTGAGTAGCTGACAGATTTTTTCCCCCATTCTGCCGGTTGTCTGTTGGTTATGGTGACTTTTTTTTTTGTGCAAAAATGTTTCTAAATGTACCATTTGTCAGTTCTTGCTTCTGTCCTCTGGGTAATTAGAGTCCTATTTCAAAAACATTTACCTTTGCCTATAATTTTTAGGGTTTTCCCTCCATTTTCCTATAGTAGACGCAAAGTATCAGATCTTACTTGAGCACTTTGATCCAGGTAGAGTTGATTAAAAAAAAAAAGTCAGATACAGAGGTCCAGTATCAGTCTCTTGCAAGTAGATAATCATTTTTCCCAGAACCATTTGTTAAGGAGGTAGTCTTTCCTCCTGTGTATGTTTTGGCTCCTTGTTGAATTAGTTGGCATTAGGTATGTGGTTTTATTCCTGGGTCTTCTGTACTGTTTCATTGATCTTTGGTTCTGTGTTTGTGCCAGTACCACGCTATTTTTGTTAATATATCTCTATAGTATAATTTGAAGTCTGTTGTTATGATAACTCCAACAGTGATCTCTATTTAGAATTGCTTTGGCTTATGGTGCCAATGAACTTTTAGACTGATTTCTCTTAATTCTGTGAGGAATAATATTGGAATTTTGATTGTTAGTACATTGAATCTCCAGATTTCTTTTGACAATATGGCCATAGTTTTTATAATAGAAGTCTTTCACTTGCTTGGTTAATATCTAGGTATTTTATTGTTTGTGAGGCTGTTGTGAATAGAATTGTTTTTATGGTTTCTTTCTCACCCTTTTCATTGGTATATAAGAAAGCTGCTAATTTTTTTGAGTATTGATTTTATATTCTTCTGCCATTCTGAAGGTGTTTATTTTAAAACAATTTTAACAGGTTTTACTATTTCATTTTCACACATGTAAATAAACTACAATATGTTTGTCCTCTTTCACCTCTTTTGTCAGCCCTCCTCCATCCTTCCATCCTACTGATTACCCCCCACATACACACATCTGAGCCCGTTTTACTAAGGAAAATATTTTGAAAATTTTGGAAAATCCTTTCTGCTTGAGAGTAAAGGATCCCTTCATAAGCAAGGCAAGAAGCCTAAAAGTGAATACATTAAGGGAGAAAAAAAAATCTTTGACCTTGTCAAAATGAAGCATGATTAAATTAATAGCAAAGTCCAGAGACAGACAATAGATCTGGAAAGAATGTTTGGCACTCAAGACAAAAGTTTGATGGCCTAATTTATAGAATTCCCACCAGGTAGAAAAATAAAAGGAAGTGTTGGTGAAGTATGGAGCAGGGGAGTTGAACATGCAACTTAAGAAATGAAATTCCAGCCGGGGGCTGGTGGCTCACGCCTGTAATCCTAGCTACTCAGGAGGCTGAGATCTGAGGATCACGGTTCTAAGCCAGCCCGGGCAGGAGAGACCGTGAGACTC